AGACGTTCACGTAATGAATTTATTCGTTCTTTTTTCCAAAAAAAAAAATGTCGCCTTATAACTCAAAAACAAATTGAGACTGGATATTTCGCAAGACTCTCGTAGTTCAACTTGTTTACGTTTTGAATACGAAAGAAGTGGTTCGATTCACTTTGCTTTCGTTTATTTTTTGCACAATTTTGAATTTTTATATTATTTTCAAACCTATTTGAAGGACCCGTCAATGAAGGTGAATACGTCAATTTTCGATTGCGACATATTTTTTCCAATAATTTTTCAATTTTTTCTGCAATTCATGTTCTTTTGGAATGAGTAAAGAATGGAATTATTCCACAACAAGGCAATTAATAATTATCAATACTTTTGGCTGTATCAATGTCTTAAGACTAAAGTCATGTATTGAAAATACTCGATATTTTCAACCGGTATTTTCCCTACCCTCACTTGCTTTCTATATCACCTGTATATTTTTTTTGAGCTTCACGTTCCGAGCGACATCTCTATGTTCCACACCAAATACGCCCAAAATTTTTCAAAGTTCTTTAATTCGAAAGGAAAGTCGATTAGAGGAATAGAATCACACAGGGCTTTCAAAATGATCCAAAAATACTAGCTTTATGATAAAAAAGCCTTTTTTCTTTCATCCATTTTTCTATATAGCAACTATGACTCAACTATGAGAAATGAGACTTCAGCTGATCTTCGAAATGTCAGCCTTTAAAATGTTTCTTTTTGGATCGTTTATTAAAGGCAAAATTAAATTGTTACGTCCAAATCGCAGTTTCTATGAAATCAGAATTATTGACGAAAAATTTTTTTAGCACATTACAAGAGCGTGTGCTATTGATCTTTATTGTGAAAATGTCATCATTTGAAGCCCAGTTTATTTAACTTATAATTGCATTACATTAGGTCAATAATATAATTTCTTAACTGTTTATGTATCATCAGAATCAGCATAGAAGCTATTTTTTATATCAATATATTTGTTTTATCGTGCTTATACACTTTGTATATTTACACTCGTTGATATTTTACTTTTGTAAAAATATCTCAATTTATTTTAAACGATCATGCTATTAAATATTCACGTTACTTGATATTTGAATTTGAACTTATTAATTGTCATTTAATTGGAACGCACTACAATCAAAAAAGTGTTAAATTCAATTTGATAGGCCTTATAAAAAATTGACTCATTTCAAGAGAAATAAAATGTCTTACATCCGTAAGATGAACTTTTCCGCACTGTGATCCACAACATGCATTTATTACAAATCTTTCACTCAAAGTATTCACGAGAAAACTGAATCTGACATTAGTTTTACAATACAAATAATTTTCGAAGCACTTTTCATACAAAAACTAATAAAAATAGGAATTTTTGTATCGCAGCCATGCCTATATGATATCGTAATCATGTGAAAATTTATTTGTATCGCAAAACTAACGTCATATTCGGTTTTCGGGTACGAGAACCCCCCCATTACATATTTTGGAAAGAAAAATTGAATTTTTCCCATGGATGGCCATGGGCATCACACCAGACATGAGACTTCACTCTGTCAACCAAAGTCGCTCAAAATCTAATGGTTTCTATTCCTCGGCACCCCCAATCATCATGTGAAGTCAGATTTTGAATTACTTTTCTTGTTTGAAAGTTATCGTGTTAACAAATTTTTGCGTACAGCGTACAGGGTACAGGGTACAGGGTAGAGGGTACCACGCACATACATTCGGACATCGAAAAAACGCTAGATTCGTGTTTCCTGGCTCTTAAAACACCCAGAAAACATGTTTTTTGAGGGTGTTAATTTTTCGACCGATTCCAATACTTTACCTTACATACTATGTGTGTGCGGAAAAGTAAAACTAAACAGAATTGCATTTTATTTAGCGTTTTATTATTCTACATAAAATTTAAGGTAAGCCTTTGCGTTTGTTTCTTCTTATTCTCTTCTGTTATTGAAATCACAATATTTGCACACAGTGTAATATTATTATCGGTACAAATGAGATTTAAATAAAGAGGCTTACGTACGCAAGCTGACTTTTCCGCATGGAACGGAAATTTTGGGAATATTATTTTCTTATCAAAATAAATAATCACAGCAAGTTTAAAGAAATTTCAATAAAAAAAAAGCCTGTTCAAAGTTTCTATGAAAAATTGGTTGCATCTTAAAACTAACACCAGATTCGGATTTCTCGTGCCCAAAAAAACCCCCCACTACACATTCTTT